TTTGAGTACAATCTGATGTACTTGTGAATTACAAAGTAGTAAACGGGATGTAGTTATGTTGTATTGTTAGATAAAACTGGAAGATATTAGTGTTGACAGAAAACCCTCATATTTGAGTCATAACTTCGATTTTACATCATCTCACCCTATGTCATTTAAAGTAGGCTCAGATTAACTCTGAGTAGCAGGGAATTATATTTACTACTAGGTTAGAAGATATGAGTCAAGAAGGCAGATACATCAAAGACATCTTACTTATCAATATTTACCTCTCTTAATTGTACAAGAAATTCTAAAGGAAGTATTTTGGTGGGGGCTGTTCATCAGAATGGATATAAGTGGTATATGTTGAGAAGGTGGGAGAAATCATGAGGAATAACCAGCAGTGAATAAAGAATCTGCTCACAGAAATGAAAGAGACAATGTGTGCTTATAAGGAGCTAATCGAGATAGAAGTAGAAGAGTAAATGAAGCACATTGGGCAAATGGCTGTTTTGTTAACTTCACAGACAATATTAGTGGGTCTTCGTCTGTCCCAGGTTTCGTGTTCCAGAACTGCTGCATCGACAGCTCTTTCTCCGCTAGGCTGTCAAACCCTACCTCAAGCGATTCTCTGAAATCTCCTTCTCATCCACAAGTTCCACCTCGTCATATGACGCCTTTGCTCTGACCCTCAGCAACGTGTCAAGCGCTACAACATTTGCTCCTGGATCCCAGACACCCACCAGCTGCGCGACTGACTCGAAGTTTCTGAAGGAGACCTTGATGTTGCCATACTTGAACACTACAGGCGAAGGAATCTTCATCATGTCCAGAAGCAGCGACAACAATTGTAGATAACTGCAAGACTGCAGTAAGGAATGTTTGTATGTTGAATGTTTTTATTGAATGTTTGTTTGAATGTTTTTATTATTGCCATCTTGTACGTTAGTCATCAAATATTTTACACTTTGTACTAAAACAGCCATTTGCATAATGTGCTTCGTTTTCTCCTCTGCTTGTATCTTGATTTGCTGTTAACACGCCCACATTGTCTCCTGCATTTCTGTAGGCAGAATCTTTTCCCATTGCTGGTAACTGCTTATGATTTCCGCTACCCTTTCAGCATATACTACTTACATCCATTCTAATGTTATTACTACCACTAATGACAACAGTTTGAAGACAGAATTAAAAACCCCATGTTATTGTAATTGAGAAAATTTACCTGAGACACATCACGTTGAAATCTCTTTAAGACATGGATTAGAGTAGCATCCAAGCCTACAGACGCAATTAGGAATAAGATTTGTAGGTTGAAAGAATTAGACAAGATAATTTGATTTAAGAAAGCAGTTGACCAGGCTCAAGTAGGCTGTCGGATCACAAAGATCTAGCCAAATCAAGATTAACTGATTCTTTTACTATCAATAATCTACAGAAAAACCTGGCTACAGTGATGCATAAGATTGCACACAAAAACACAATGAGTTTAATCAAATTGACAGTTTAAAAAAAACTCGTTTAGACGGAAGGAGAGACTGATAACCAAATCTTCAACTATCGAATAAAAACAAAATGCATGAAACAGGAAAGATTCTCTATCTGTTCCAAATACATGGAAATTGCTACTAGTTATGTCAAAAAGAGAGAGATGAAGTTACAGTTATATCAACCATGTGTTGAAGTTGCCGAGTAACCTTGGTATGAATAGTTACGGCGAGTTGTGGCCGAAACGTTATCCAGTACATAATACTGTCTCACTTATTTACGCATGTAATACATTAACTAAGATGAAATGTCATCAGTTCCCATCATTCCCGTTTATACACAGATTTACGAAATAGACAGCTGTGCGTGAACCCTATTAAAACCATTTGGATAGGATTGACTCGATTGACTACCCGACCACGGACGACTAACTATTGCAATAATGAAGTTTGTTCTGAGTACGCTTATCTGTTTAGAATTCATGAAAGTACATGATCAACGAAATATTGCTAGACGATTTAGGAGTACGGCCAAAAAACTATCTGGGTGTTATTGGATAAATGATGATTATTCATGGTGTTAGGAGTTAAATATGCATCAGTTCGCAGTCCTTCTCCACCTAACTTTCACACATTTTTGAATTGCCTAAAGAAATGGATATTCTTCGATAGTCATAGAATGACGACGGTTAGAAATTTTGAATATCTAATCCTTCTCCGAATGTTCTAACCTCACTCCTTTCGAGTAGCTCGATAGCATCTAGAAAATGACCACCAAAATCTGTAAACTGAGCATTCTTTGTCACCAACTTTAGAATCATATTCTTCTCTCAGAAATTCTATCTTCAGTAAGCAGAGGATAAGCTAGAGCACTGAGACACATCAATGTAGGTATATCAGTTTACCTGCCTCTGTGGAGCAGAGTTCATCGGCTTTACCATGCGCGTGCTTATGCAACGTGAATGCGGACACTATCTAACTTGGCTCAGAAGGAGAGAATGGAAACGCATTTTCAGTTGTGTAACATAACGTTTAGTAAATTCAGGACGTTGGTGTACTTTTTGAAACCTCATTCAAAATTGTTTACTAAATGTGACCAAGCCACTTTAAAAAAGTGGGGTTAAGACATCTGGACATAACAGAAGCTCAAAAGTTCAAACTGCCATTGTACTTTCCAGAAAAATCCGTATAACCTCGTTTTTTCGCCATGGTCATCAAAGAAAATCATCTCTTTAGATAATTCATATGTGACTGGCCTATTTTTATTTTTAGTATGATTTTTTCGTAATTACTTTTCACTTTCCTATAACATAAACATTACGTAACTTCTTTTTATCGCACAATTTACATTGACCTTTTACTTGAAATCATTCTAGAATGTTTTATCCTTTTTACTATATATTCACAAATTTACTGCATTTTGGGGAATGATTTCTTCGGAAAGAAAACGTTTTCTTCGCTGCATTCCTTTTCAATATTTCCATTTCTTCTACTTCTACAATGTTAGTGGTTAGTTTTTGAAAATATTCAATCTTCACGCTGTTTCAATTTTACAGATACTGATAACTGAAGTGAAACCTGTCAGCCGTATATTAAGTTACTGTATGGCATCATTTCACCTAATTGATCCATAAATAGTGTGCCGATATTCAGTCAGCCGGAGCTTGTCTTGTACCAGTGAGTGATGTACTACAGTAGCTGGTCTGTGACTGTCGATCCACACTTTTTGATAAATCTCTCTCATAAATCAGACACATATACTACATCATTTTTGACTAGATAAAATAGCTGTAGTTTGAAAGACTTGTATTACCAATACTGGGTGATGAGTGAAGGTTAAATGAAAGCCTGAGCAGCTACAGGATTCGAACAGTCGACCGCCAGGTTCCATCAATTGACTTAGGAGATGTGGTTGCAAACGAAATCTTTTAATTTTACTTCTAGTAACAAGCGTTTCGCCCTACTGTCATACCAATTCGTGTCACGTTACTATCACTTGATGGTACTTACAGTAGCTGTTCAGTCAGAACTTCCTATTCTAATCCAAATCTACTCTAACTAGAGGAAAGAATCTCCAGTCATTTCATGCCTCAGTTCATAGGATGATGGTATTATGGATACTGTTATTCATGGAGGTCTGGATACTGATTTATCTTATCAATTTGATTGACATAAAACTGATGTTTTGAAGAGGATAGTAGTATTTCATCTAGGTATTAATTATCAGTGTTCAGAACTTTATCTCCCTTCTCTTGACTCCGTCTCTCACCTGCGTTGGTTCTTTTTTTCATGATCTAATTCTACGAAATTTTTTTCAAAATTAAAGAGAGGATTTGAATTAAAGACTATATGACAGTTTGGCAATTTTTACTTCTAAACCATTCAAAGGCCACTCCTTGCAGAATAAGTAGAAGAAGAAGATGAAAATGCACAGTAAATCGCAGATAAAATGGTATATTATACGTAGAGCTCAATATCAGTTTATGCGAGAGTATGAGATTTTTTTATATGTGTATATTTCGTTTCTTTTTTTGAAAGATCCATGACTGTCATTGAGAGACGAGCGGAGAAAAAGATAGAAGCATATGGGAAACACCTTAGTTTTAATGAAAATGAAAAAAGAGAGAAGGAAAGTAACAAGTCAAGGTCACAAATTCTCTGATTCTCCCCCTTACTCTATTTAATGAAGAAAGATTTAATTCAGACTAGTAACTTAATATAATTTCAGTTTGTTGTAAATTTTTCTACTCATCAATTGTCAAGAAGGATAAGAAAGTTAGTATCAATAGAGTGAGTTGTTTGATTTTTTAATGGAACCAAGAACTTCAAGTAGGTTGAAATGAAAAAAACTCAGTAGACATCAACTCCAGAAAACAGTCTTCGGAAAGCCTCCTGATTTTGGTTGAATCCTTTTAACGACATTTGGCTCCATTATTTGAGAAAGGCATACTGTTTGTTTGAAGGACCAGTTAGTTAGAAAATATCCTATAATCTCAGTCTTTAACGTTGATAAACTTATGATATTACATAATACTTTATTCAGGAACTCTGACGAACATTCCTACTTATCTCAGGACCACTGAAAATAGTTGCGAATACCATTGACTGCCTTCCATTCGAATACTGGAATTCATCTACCACAATTGGGTCTTGCCAGTGAATTCTGTATTTCATTTAGCAGCAGTCTAAGAAGGTTGTTGTCACATTTCATTGTTGTAAGGACTGATCTGTAGTCGAATTCCGACCGGTCTACAAGAACGACGTAAATATTAGCCTGAGAAAAGCTTAACTTTCCACAATTACTTGTCTCAGATTGGACAGAATTAATGGCCAACAATTCACACATGAACTGTGCAGATAATTCGAATGTCAGAGGAAACAGGTTCATGGAGTTGTTGAATCCTAATCTGGACGACACACAAACTTCAGAATACAATCCAAAGTTAAAATCAGTGATAATACCATTACAGTAATACATTACTAACAGACAACATATTCGATCAAAAGATGACTAATGAAACGTGTTCTTACCTTTATCTAAAAATTCAAATAACCCGATAAATTTTTGTCTGTTGTCAATTGTTCCAATGATTTCGTTTATTTCAATGATCAACACACGTCCAATTGAATAGAATTCATCTACTGGTAATTGATTTAAATGAGTCCCGCATAATACATAGTCTGGTTTGTCACCATTAATCAGTTCAGCTCGTTCCAACTGATGGTAAACATTGAATTTTGTTGTGCATCTGAAAGAGAAAATCAATAAAAGGGGAAAAATATACAATGACGAATATACTGATTGTATATAGGAGATACTGTCTTATCATAAAGCACCAAAGTAATATTTTCAGTGCATAGGATTATTCATATGGGCATCAGTGATTATTGGTATTACAAGACATTGACAGATCAGTCAGTTTCTCATGCTAATGAAATATCTTGCAAAGCAGTTTTAATGTTTTTCTTTAACTTCTTAGTCTTTCTCCTCCTTTTTCCTACATGATTACAACCCAGATGATCAATCTACTATGATGGACTACAGTTGATAATCTTATTTACTCAACTGCTGCAGGATTCTTCACACCAATCAATAAATTTCAGAGTATTCATAGGTGTTTTGGATGTAGTCTGATCAAATATTTATAAGCTTCTAATGCCTTAAATATAAAATGTAGGTTCATGAAACTCATAGTTGAACAGAGTAGCTAATGCTCAAAGCTTTAACGTTTATCTGACAGTTAGTTTGAAAAGTTCAACGATACGTTCTGTGGATATCGACTGTGTGTTCATACGGAAGAAGATTACTATGTTCATCGAATAAGCTTATATTGCCTACATATCTCTGGTTGAATTTGCCATGAAATGTGGTCAGTATCAATCCTGATAGAATTTGTCATTTACAGCAAGAGTATTTTAAATCTTACCGACACTTGACTAAGTACAAAAATTATTATTTACGTCAGCAAACCGAAATGTAATCCCATTTATAGGTTTGTGACGATTGTCTGGTACAGTCAGTAGAAGTGCGCACCCATGAACTCTTAAGGGATTGAACCCAGTACCAACTCATTATATAGCAAAGTGACAGAAGTCTAAGATTGTGGACCATGGGATTCCGACCCAGTAGCTGAATGCTTAACTTGCTGAAGGTACTGGGTACAATCCCTGATGGGTGTCAACTGTTGATTTCTCATACTAATGTGAAACAGCTGTCCAGTGCTCCAAGATTTTCAGTGATTCCTGGACTGATGTCAGTCTTTGATGAAAAAACTAACTCGAAAACAGAACTGTGTGCATGTATATGCATGAGAATACTTACATAATAGCTCTGAAACCTAGCTTCACCCTTCAGTGGGTTCCCCTAGGATGAGAAGGCACTACGACGTTAATATGGTTATTTCTGTAAAAGACATGCTTCGTTCATGTGTCTAAAAGTTTGTTCATCTTTCTATCATGATTTTCAGAAGGTGATTCTTGAGGTACTTGTACGTGGATTAAATAGGTTTACTTGAAACCTTCGGGTAATCTGGCTGGCCGAATGTTTTTACACTAATCGGTCTTCTTTTTGTGCTTAGAAATGATCAAGATTTTTCGATTTCGTTTTTCAATGTGTCCACAAAGAGAAGTCACAACACTGTGGTACACTGTATTTTGTGTTAAATGATGTGCGGTCTAGGTTTGGCGTTTGTTGGCACTCATCATTAAAGCATGTTTACAGACATGATCGATAGACTTTGAACGATGTGACGTACTAAGGACTAGATGATCAAATGATTTACTCACAAACTAGCGATTCGTGTACATATTCCACTTCTGCAAAGGGTTAGTCATAGCCTGAATGGATAACTGGTTACGTCTCTAAGTTCAGCACTGGGTGATGCGAATTCGATTCACAAAAGGAACACCATTGCCTCATGATTTCGGAAACCTCTTGCCGATAAGTGTCAGTTAACACAAAATGAAGGTCAAGCAGGGTTTCCTGACAAATGACTCCCACTTTTAAACATCAAGATTTCGTAGTCGTTTCTGTATTATTCAGAGATCTAGGAATTAGTTGGTGTTTCACATTATAGCATACATGCTGAATATTTTCTTATCATCCATGCACTTATTTGAATTCATGACCACTTTGAAGTATTTCACATAAATTAAGCAACCACTGTGATCAGTAGCGATTGATAATAACAGAAGAGCCGTCATTATTTGTTTTGTACATTGAACATTCATTTATGACAATCAATGATTAGTTTTAGTAGTTGGTGAAGGCAATCAGTAGGAAACCCTGGCGAATCTAGGTTGCGTGCTTATTGATACTCATCATTAGGGTGTGTCTGAGACCTCGACGGAACTGATATACCAGCTGGGACTCAAACTTGCTTTCGAGAGTGTTACCATTAAGCTATTCGGGCAGCGATTGACTTCATATAGGACTGGATTGTGTACGTTGGTTGGTCACTGAAAAGAGGCGACCAACTTCATGTTGTCTAGTCCTGATTCTTTTCTAAGTGAACTACGAATACACTAATAAACTGCCGTTGATCACATTGCTATACACTTGGCATACACAAGCATCCACATTTACACATAGTAGAGGGCAGATAATGTTATATCAGTTAAGTGGGTTGGAAGAGAGAGAGAGAATGACAGACAAAAGAATAAGGAGAAGTTCCTATAAGTAGTCTTTCTTAATCCAATACAAACAAAAAAGTATGTTGAAAGCATTTTGGAGTGTGGACTCAATCAGATATTGATGGTAATTGAGTAGTATTTGAAGCTGTTAACAACTTCTGCTATAATTGTTGTTGATTGTTATCTATTTATATTCATAAAAACTGGAGTGGTTGTGTGCGTGTTATCACTCATCAACGTTCTGAGTGCTTACCACTTAGCGCTGTTTAAAAAGACGATATACGGAGAATAATTAGAATACGCAAGATGGTACGAAAGTGTGTGTGTGTTTGTGACAGAAAGTGAGAAACGCAGTCAGAGAAAGTTATTCATAACACATCTCGCTGCTAGTCTATAAAGTGCGAAGATGAAGGTATAACAAAAAAACGACTGCTCAAATTAATAACATTCCCTTAGCCCATATGGAATTAATTTTTGACTTAAGTGTTGCGAGGAAGGAAAGACAACTTCATTGAAGGAAATTTCTTTTCTTGGGGATTTTTCAAATCACAGATTGAAAAGAGGTGGAAAACTACTGAATACCAGAGATCAATAAATAACTATTTTTCGTCTTATTCGGGACTCCTGTGTAAGCCTTACTCAGCCTCAATTACTGTGTCTGACGAGTTCAGGGATCTTTGTGAGTAAACAATCTTTCTCCCACTTCACTCACCCAAAAGATCATGAATTCTGATCAAAACTTTGAAACTTTTATCCCCGATCCTGATAAATATCAAGTCGAGATTCAAATCCACTCAGTAAGTTTACACACACAGTTATGAAGTAGGCGGAGAGCCACACATCTGTTTTGGAGAGGTAATGATACTGCCTGGCTGCTCAAACCACGGTAAGAGAATCAGTGTTCAAACTCATGATCCACTCATAGGAAGTCAGCTCCCTAAACCAGAGAGTAATGAGTACGCGACTATGAATTATCAGTACGACCTGCAATTATGAACTTTTTCCATAAGATTTGAACACACCTAGACTGAAATCTAATTAACAGCTTGATCTCACGGTCCGCCTGCTTCTAGTCCTGTTGCAATTAGAACCATACCTCCATCTTGATCTAACCCATTATTATCATCCTCATTACTAGTCACTAATTGAATGGAAAATTGTATTTTCATGAAAGTCATTTCAAGGAGTTCAATTTAGGGTTGCAAAATGATATCTCTATCAGTCAGAAAGACTGAAAAACTGTTATATTCTTTAGTTACCCGCGTCGCTAATTTGATTTAAATTTCTCTAGTTGCACTTTTCTGATTCAGTCTTAGAGCTAACTGCACTTGGTCGGTCTCCGATATACTTTCCAGTCTCATATACTTAGTCGAACTATATAACAAGTCACACAGGTCGGACCTTCCAGTCAACTCAGCATAATAGAATACAAAAACTGGTGTCTATCTGGTGACTTTAAATGCCACCTCAGCAATAACTGAAACAACCAGTTAGACTTTTATATTTGTGGAAATTTTGCCTTTCAACAGAAATGAAGAAATTTAATTGGTTGTTTTATTATTTGCTATGGTGGGCTCGTCAGTCGCTCTATAAGTAAGCATCATAAGTGAGTGAGTTTAAAGTTTACTTTAGTACCTGTTGAGATAACCAACTAATTTCCTACATTGCACGAGAAACTGCTTTCGTAACCGAAATTCTGGAGTCCATTTAGCTACCTTATCAGTTGCTAGGGTAGACTTTAAAATCACCTGTTATTTCATCAGTTACTAGTATGGAATTTAAATACAATCTGGTTATCGGGTTGATCTTGAAGGTCACCATAAAGACCAATTACTTTCCCTTACTTTACGAAAAACTAACTTCCTAGCTGGTATACCAAAACCTGATTGATTGCTTGGGCAGTTGCTATGTGGTCTGTAAAATCACTCTCTTATTGTCCATATATAGTTTAGGCAATCTGCTTCATGTGTTAACATACAACCAAATTACCTGACCACAACCTACTACAATTTATAAAGATGGGGTTACCAATTCCAAGCAAAGAAGGTGAGATAATGGACAATAATGGATTTCACTCAGCATCCAATTATTTCAGAACTAATATAAGTCACACAGAAGTGACTGAATGATCAGTTGAAATCTCTTGAAACAAACGATACAATAATGTTACCAATAAGGTCACAAGTAGAATGACTTTAAAAAAAGTAATACAACCAACGATATTTATCTGAGATTCACGTTTTCCACTTTTCGGGTGATATAACAAGAATGAAAACCAAGAGAGGAATTGAGAGAAAATGAAAGTAGACTTGGCTTTCTACAGTTGTCAGTCAAGCTTACTCTCAAATTCTTTTGCTTGTATATTTTCAAGGCTGGGAAACAGACACTTACTTCAATATTCAACTGGTGATGATTTGCAATCTATTCAGAAAATGATGGAATTTGGTAATAAGATGCATGAAATCTTCAAAGATGATCACTTGACTTTTCACTCAGAGGTTCAACACAATCTTTACACTACTTCCCCTTGACAAGTCAGGTTGATTTTTAACCAAGTTAATAGTAAATTTATGGTGTGTATTACGGTCAACACAATACACGACCTTCAGATACCATAAACTATTTGGTATCTCCATGATGTCATTGAGTGTGGGTAACATTTTACTACTCAACCGCTGAACTGGAGTTCAGAAGTCGATTTTCTTCTGCTCTAGTCAATTCGTAATGTAGCATGACAATCATCAACTGCCGTAGATAGGTATTTTTCTTCACAACCGAACTGATTCAACATACATCATGACTTTTACTTAGAACTTCTTGAAATCCATCTCGAAGTGTGTCACTCACTAACGAACAATAGACAACTAGAAATTCTCTTGTTTAGCACTCCTAGGTTTTTAATGGTTATCCAAGCAATGCTCCTCCATAATGAGTACTCTAAGATGTACCAGATAATCAACCGATGGTAACGGACGCCTTTACTGGAGTGGTTGAAAACGGTAAGAGCTGTCGAACTCTTCATATATATGAGAAATTACTACAACTTTGTCAATATGTCAAAAGAACTTTATAATTGTCACGTTGAGTATCTGAAGACTAGTATTGATACTAGATGATGATTGGAGGTGAAATGAAAATTTGGACCACGGTGGGGTCCAAACCAGCGACCGCAGTACAAAATACGCCTTCAAAGCTGCCATCTATTTTCGATATTCTCACCACTGATCAAGGATGTATAATTTCATTCCTCAGAAATCGAAGCAAACCCATTTGACCGTAGGAAAAAGGAGAAAACGATTTTAACGAAGAAAAATTTATCTTTTCGACAAATCATTGTCTTAACTGCAGTACATTCTTGAGTAATTTCTAGACAAAGGTCAAAATAAGTTGTATCCGAAGAGGTGAGTTTTTTAATGAATATAAATGTATATAAAAAGGGGAAAAAATAAATGATTACAGAATCAAATAAATTAATATTTAAAGGGATCAGTACTTCTTGATGGCCATGGCAGAGAGGTTGAACATGCGTCTTTTGAAGGCACAATGGCGGTTTGAATTTTTGAATTCCTAATGCTTTCTTTAGCTATGCGTAGATATCTTAACCCTACTCCTTTTTAGTGGCCTGACCATACTTTGTACAAAATTTTGTACGATTATCAAAAATGTTCAAAAATTATGTGTTAACTAAGTATTTCGTTACAGAGTTGAAGAAGCATTTCCATTCTCCTCTTGTCAGCCAGGTTGGGTAACATTTGCTGGTATAAAGGTGTCTGTATTCTTTTACTTGCCCCTATATGTGGTACAGTACATTGGCTATGCTATGCATCAAAGTGAAAGTGCTCATGATAGCTACTCAGCTTGGCTGACAAGGAAAGGATGGAAATGCATCCTCATCTCTGTAACAGAACACTTAGTAAACTCAGGACACTTGGCTCAAGTCGATAATTACTACAAAATCCGGTACGAAGTGCGACTAAGCCACTTGGAAGGAGTGGAGCTAAGGCAACTAGGTATAGCTGAAGCAATAGCAACTGAAAATATCAAACAACCGGAAATTACTTTTCATAGTTCTCTCCTTTCAACTATATATTCACGAATGTACTGCAGCAAAGAGGATGATCTCGTCGAAGAGAAGCCTTTTTCTTCACCGGAATCGCCTTTTCCCTTTTCCTATTTTTATTCCTTTTTAGAGACTCTTATTCAGTTTGCAGATTGGACAAGCCAAGTAAGCAGTGAAACCTTTAAATGTAACAGCATTAAATGCAATAGCTTTCCGAGGAAAAACACTCACTCCAAAACTAATTTCTATCCAGAGGTAAAGATAGCTAATCAATGCAGAAAATATAGACGGTTGTAATATGTCAAAACACTGATCACATTCGCAAAATACCACCGTATCGGTTGAGTAGTCTCACACTTCTCAATAAAATACTTCCTGAGGAATACTTTGAAATAAAGCAATCAGTCCATGTTTATTCTTACTATTCACCAACCAGACAACTGTCTTTAACATATATGACTGCTTCGGGTCTCTCTTAACGATAATACCAACAATGAGAGACATTAAAGGTCAGCTCACTAATCATTGAGAGGTAATACCATACTAGGTAGCAATAGCTGTCCAATGCTCTTAAGTTTTAAATGCTTCTCCGAGCTATATCACTATGTGATGAATATTGCATTGAGATAAGTCAGTCTACAAAAGCGCGCAAACTGAATTACTGTCTGGTGCTCATTTATGTCTTGGTTGAAGATGAGATCTGATGAAGTCCTAATAAGAAGTTGTGACCGGTGGGGCAAACCAAGTCGAACATGGTGAAAACTACTCTAAGATGGCATTGGGTGAGGACTAGTCCATGTCGTGAAAATGTGGATCATTGGATTCCAACTCAGTGGTCTAGTGGTGACCTCTTCTCCATGAAACCTAAAGGTGGATGGTTTGACCTTTGACAGCGTCATGGTTGTTTGCTTTCGATGTTCTCAGATAGTTCGTTAATTCACTCTGTGATGAACACCACTTTGAAATCAATAAATTGTTCACAAACCTTCAAAATGGATCAGTAAGCTGGCCAGTTAGTTTTGAATTAAGCTTGAAAACTAGTTTTTCAATAAATAGGGAAGTTTTATTGGATACTTAAAAAGTCGCTAGGATAGCTTAAAGAGTCAGACGTTGGAGTTTTCGTACTTTTTTGTTTAGAGCAGAAGCAATCTAAACAGTAAGAACACATACAGATTTCTAGTCTCATTCTTCTTCAATAAATCACACTTAAAGAATCTGCGAACTGAATACACCGAAAGAATTTTGAACGCTTAGCAAATACAAATAAGACAAATGTTTGATAAATCTTTTAAGAAGTAACCGACTTACTTCTTTTCTACAGAATCTCTCCTCCTCATCGTCAGACTGAATTCTAGTAATCGTATGTGTACAATTTCTTTTATATCTCCAACAAATGTATAAATAAGACATTTTGTTGTATTCCAAAACAATTTTCTTTGTATCTTTGTCAGATACTCAAATGTTCCATTACTTAATCCTGTACTTTGAAATAAATAGCATAAACAACCTGAAAATGTTTAAAAGTAATACAAAGTGTTTACCCGAATAAGGCGCTATCAACTTGTATCATAGGATTCAAACAAAAACAAATATCCTATTGTCACAGTGATAAATAATACGTTACTTAACATATACAACGTTTAAGCAAATACTATTCACCTATTTACACACCAAAAGAATATGTGTAAACCGATGTGTTTGAATGAAACTACTGCAATAGGTGCGCAGTTTTTTGATGAGAATCTTTTACAGGGGGAAATCACAGATCAGTGTGAATGGTTTATAACTAATCAGTTTGCTCAGTAGTAGTATATTTCGCTAATTTGTGACACTGTTGTGTCAGAGATCCGCCGTTTGGATCTTGGTTGGTGTATGGTTCCCAACAGGAACCCTGTTAACACCAGGATAAGATGGTTGAAAACTGCTCAGTTGTCAGAAATATCAAAGTGGATCATGCAGTTTGTAATTCATTTACACGTTGCCAGTAATTGTCCACTTCTAAAACCAGTATACTTCCGATTACGCCCCCCTCCTTGGTAGTTGTAGCTTGGCTTAAGTGATAATAATTTTCATACAGATCCTCATTGTGTTGGATATCAGAAATCAGTCGGTAGGAAGCAATGGGGCTAGGTTTCGTCATTGGTGGCGTTCATCAGCAAATGGAGTCTTTTTCAATCACTTGTGGAATATTTGAGCCATGATTGATCTTTTGTAGAACTAAGTCAGGTACACAAATTAGTCAATAGTTAGCAACCAATATACCTGCCTAGTCTGTCGATCCAGGTTTTGCAACATGGTGACTAAACTAAATGATACTGCACTGCGGTGCACTATATTTCCTCATTAGATGTCAGACGTAAATCAATAGGATGCCATAGGCACCAACTATATGACCATTCTTTGCACTCGTCAGCAAAGCTTATATGCAGCCATTAGGAAACCAGTGTTTCCTTAGGGATTTGAACTTAATTCATTCAGTGCTGAAGTTGGAGTATTTATTACTAAGCCATTCAGATCCCTTAATAAACGATGAGTCTGTTGTGAATTTTATTGATTTTTCCTTGGTTGATAGTTTGTTAGAATCAACTATTGAAAGTCAGTAGAACGCAACAAATTTTGAAGTTAGAAAGTTTACAAGACACTATAGAATGTTAATTTGTATCTGTTTTTTGGTCTTATATCAACTTGTATACAGAAGTAACGAAGCATAAGATGAATTATTCCTCTTTTTAGAAAGTATATTCCGAATTCATCTTTCACTAGCTCGTAAATAATTTGCTTTATAACAGGTTATCAATCATGTGAACCGGATAGATTGGACCACGCCTAAAAGTCATAAAATTGTTGTATAAAGGCATGTTTTGTGCGTAAGACAATCATTTTAAGCATATTTCTCTTCAAACGCATTGAAACTATTTCCCTTTGTATCACACAATTCTGTTTGTAAAGACTAAGCTACTTGATACTTTTCACTGTAAGCCCATAATCTATGGTCAAAGCTGAGCGGTACCATCTCTGACTACAACACTGAATTACTCAGGTTCAAATCTCAGGCGGGGTAACAGTTCTTTTGGGTTTCAGATACGCCTTACTGACAAGTCCTGAAGAGCACGAAACCTGGATCCAGGACTTTCTGCTGATTGTCTCCATCCAACTAACATCACAGTGCTGAGCTACTGAGTCTGGTAGTCACAATGCAAAATGACCGATAGAATTCAGTGAGCACTTAGGACTGGACAACATGAATTTGGTTACCCTCCAGTGACCGATCGATGTACAGGCATTACCAGCTAAAAACACTACCAAGTCTACTGACTGGTCACTCGACAGTGGTCGACCAAATATTGGCTAGTCAGAAGTGCTGATTGGATTCTACAGATGATTTTTGTGATATGTCGACTAAGTTAGGAGAAATACCACCGCGATAGGCTGGAATACATATTGGTTGAATGAAGAAAGTCAGCAGTAGACCACAGTCTATTTGGGTTTCGCACTTTATGACAATCTTCAGCAAATTGTATCTACAACTGCACATGGATTGATGGTAACATCTCCGAAAGTGGCACTGGATGAAATGGGTCGGAATCTTGCAGGCTGCATCAGTTATCTAATCTATACTAGAAACTTTGAATATGTCTTTAAAAATGTCTCACCTTTTATGACAGCATAGTTATATTGATCTGATATGCATTCCTCAACAGATGGCAGTCTAGTATTAGCATCTTTTCTGGAACGATTGACACGATGAATTTGGTGTAGATCGGATTTAAGTTTTAATTTATCAGGAGAATTAAAGTTCCGTCGTTGCAAACTATTCATCTTTAAATATTCCGATGATTTACTGTTAATTGAATATGTATACGATCCATTTTTAATCACTGATGATGCAGTTTGTTCTGTGGAAAAGAATGATTTAAATGATATAAAATTGATAACAAAATTATTGGTAATGATGTATCATAAAGAATCTATTGTATTTAGAATACTCAAATAAAGTGACCAGTGAGGAATAAACCTGAAATTATTATTTTGTGAAATTTGTAATTTCTTGTCTTCCAAGTCTCATTGGCAACGCCGTCATGCTGATGAGTCCCGAATAAGACGAAATGTGCCTCCTGAAATCGATTGTTAGCCATAAAGCAGGAAAATCATAGCACCTGAAACTGCAGAGCTAAAAAGATTTTCCTCCACTTATCTTGCTGGGCTAAATAACCATTAGAAACCTGAGATTGTTAGACAGCTATATTGACTTCCGTTGGAACATTGAAACAGTACAAAACAGCAGTTACTTTGAAACGAGATTTTCTTGATTATATGTTATTCTTAAGGAAGTCAAGAAAAGTTAGGCTATTTGCTTGTTTTCACCTTTGGCAGACAGCGGAATTTTCAGCAAACATAATGGTAGAAAAGCATCTGTAAGTTTGGTAGTGAAGATTAGTTCAACCAGTAGAAAAATTTTAAGTTCCAGCTAACTATTCTCATGATGGCTACATGATACACTGTCAAGCTTTCAGGGGTAGATTGCTATCTGTCGGATACTTCCTATTATTTTATTGTTAACAAGTCTAACGGCAGATTGGAGTTATTTTTAAAATGTGGGAGAGTGGGTTTTATGATGTCTTGACATTTGAATGAATAATAAAACATTACTTATTATATTTACTTTTCCCTTGGGTTCCTGGTGGAACCTAGAGATTCAGTAGCACGCCGCCATCGCACTCTCTTCTCCACAGTCTTTTGAGCCTCCTTCCAACACTACTCATAACATTTCATTTCTTCCTCACACCATCCAATCCATGTCACCCTCAGCTGTAACGCCCAACTCGTCAACTCCCATCTGGATTCCACTCGACGGCCTGGCCTGGCCTCATGCGTGATGTCCATACTCGGCCTTCTCAGTGTACGCACAATCCATCTCCACATTCTGCTTCTGATTATTCGTTGGGTGATGGGTTCTTGATCCAATGGTTCGTTGCCAGCCAGCCAGCCAGCCAGCCAACCACAGTTCCTTGTTGCTCAGTCTCATTATTCTGGCCATCCATCTGATCCACAGTGTCAGTATTGAGTGAGTGTAGGTGGCAGCTGTTGATGTGATGTATATCTGTAGTTTGTTCGAGATGCTTTTCGTGACACGCCAAAATTCTCAACCATCACATAGATGCACTGACTGACTTGAATTGAGATTCGTGTTGAAAATCCGGATCTTGTTCACGCTTCATGCTGACTGCATTGTAGTGCAGTAGATCTCCACACTGATTTATTTCAGATTAATGAAAGCCTGTCTTGCTGTCTTTCTGATCCTGGTTTTTACATCCTTATATGTGCCTATGCGGCCTGTAGTTGAGACGATGCTGCTTGAACAGGTAGGTGAAAGAGACAACTTCATTTAGGTTTCTGCCGTTAATGGTGATTGATGCTTGTTGTTGTTGATGCTGTTGTTGTTTGGGTATCTTCATCACCTCCGTCTTCTCTACATTCACTTGAAGTGCTGTTTTCGCTGCTCCGTCTCTTCTGTCAACTTGTTAGTTTTCGCCTGTAGATCTTCGTGTTTGTGTCACAAGACTTAAGACATAAATTATCATCGGCGACGAAATCGAAATCTTCTTGGCTCTTTACATCGGTCCAGCGTAAATTGTTGAAATATGCTCAACGAATCAATCTCAGTGGCTTTAGAATCAAGTTAAATAGCCGTAAGATGGTGATTTGTCTATTCGGATGATATTTCGCAAGGGACCAAAATCATGTTGATGTCGAAGGTTGCTTGGTAAACGCTTGTCTTTTATTTCTAGAGCTTGTTTTCTTTATAGAACACCAAATATGGAAACTTTCCTGTTATCCTAGCCAGAAAATCTACTCTTTACCAAATTAACTTCAGCTTACTTTCAGAAAAGAACATGATCTGGATAAATGTCTCATTTTAATTTGTCAGTTAATTTGATGTTCCTATGATTCGTATAAATTCGCTTTGTAGCCAATTCCTACTTCCTTAGCTTAACATCTACTTATGTGATACAGTAACATATTGAATGAAGAATTGCAATTTTTCCCTTTTAACTTATTGTTAAGATATATTTTGAGGTGTATTTGGAAACTGTGAACAGCTGAAATCCAACCCAGTGGGTGAATGGTTAACGCGTTCTCCATGAAACCTGAAGGTACTGAGTTTTATCTCTTGGCAGGTCGTAAGTGAGTACTGCTGAGCCGTCCCAAACTAAGACGAAACAGCTGTCAAGTCCTTCCAGGTTTTCAGGGATTCTCAAAATGTTATCAGCTTGTGACGAATACTATCTCAAAGTTACTGTTAAAATGCTAAGAAAAACAAAAAAGTTAATAAACATTGTAACCCTACTACTTACCAGATATAATTAAGTAGCCAACAGTACAAATAATCATGATGAATTGGGTTGGAGAATATAAATTTAAAAATAACATATCTTCACATCGTATATACAGTGATTGAACCGGAAGGAGATAGAATCAATTGTGAAGTGAATGGATGTAGTCTTGATGAAGTTGAAGACGATGATAATGATAATGATGATGACGATGGAGATTTCGACAAGATGGACACGAAATTTGTCAGAATATCCTTCATAATAATAATAATAATAATAATTGATATCAGATTGTTGTCACGTCAGTGATCATAGTGACATGTTGCGCAAAATGTCATCGTGAATTAGAGAATAATAATACCTGTTTACATTCAAAAAGAAGGGTATAGAGAGTATTTGATTACTCAAGTAATCATTGACAAATACTGGAAAGTGTTAAGTGATGTGAAAAGTGATTTACAAAAGTTGAAAAATTCACAGTTACTTTTAGTACCCACTGCTATTTATCACCAAGCCTTACTTAAAACCTTGTCAAAGAGAAGCTTTGATTTCATTCACAGACTCCATAGGAACCGATGAGTGAAGTCATTTCATGAAGATGGTTAACTTTATTGAGACCTTCTTTAGTGCTTACTGCTTTAAAATTGTTTTAAATGTTCCAAAATGCATTTTTTTTTGTAGAAAAACTTGGGTGGATACTTAGGTGACCGGTCAGGTTAGGCAAAACTGAGGTTTCACAGTGTTTCACTGTTTGCATAAAAGATGCTTAGTGAAGTGCTTCACAACTGCTGTACATGTTCAATAGGAAGTGGTCATTGAAACTCATTAGCCTAACTTGTCATCAAAATTTATGTATCAGTAATTCAAGCCATATAGCTTGGGTAAGGGAAGAAGAAGAGAAACATGCACATGCACTTTAATTTCCTATGGAAATGGTTTTCTTACAAAACGCCTTCCCATTCCAGCAGTGTTCATTCACTTATCATCACTGCTGTATTGATTTGATAACTGAAAACGTTTTTTTTTGAGTCTGTGTTTATAAACACGATAAGATTGAAGACTTTGAAACTGAACTAGAAGAAAAATTGTCAACAACAAATTTATGGTGGATTCATTAACGAATCAGACTGTTTGCAGCTCGGGCAAAAAGTCGGCGTTTAGTACATAAGCGAATGGGTGGGCAAAGGATTTGTTTAGTTTTAGCAAATAAACCCTTAATCCGCGAGTGGTTTTCGAGACATATCACAGAAGTCACCAATACTAAACTTTCACCTTGTCATTGAACTAACATGAAAACTGTAGGACAGCTGTGAATTTTCACTCTAGATGATAGGATAATAGTCGACCGGCTACCTGACTTACAGCAGCTAATGCAAGCACAAACACAGTAAATGACTTGTAATTTGTTGAGTATTCGGTCGATAATAGTGGAAAATTAATTTTGTATTTGAAGCATAATGGTCGTGTTGATGAATGCTATTCATGTTGACCGATGCAAACAGAACATGCAACATTGGAGTTCCTATGGTCTTTCTTTCCAGACAGATCATTCGGCTATGTCGAGTAGACAGTTCTAGAGTAAATCTGTTATCAATATTATTTGAAGTATCCTGAATACGAGATTCAACTTCATAAATAGGACACTTAACGTGATGGTCAAGTGGATATGAGAACTTTATCTCACCTGTGGGGAAAACATAGTGGACGTGAGGACAAATACTGAACGATTATATTGGGTGGTGGTCGCGCTATGTCGTAAACTGACAGAAGTTGTAAATATGAATCATCAGATTCCAACCCAGTGGCTCAATGGTAACTTGCTGGTGGCGGAACCTGAATGTCATAAGTGTGCACTGCTGAGGAGTCCTTTGTTAAGACGAAACAGCTTCTCAGTGCTCCCAGGTTTCCAACGTTCCTCCAAATGACGTTAGTTCATGGTGAACACCAACTTGAAATCAATAAATCCCCATAAACCCCCAAACTGAATATCAGATTACTTGAATACAATATTCTTTGATATTCACCAAAAGAGATAACGTCATTTTGTATAAAAAGGGATGTGTAACTGGAGACATTATGGGAGCTGCTGGCCACTCAGTCTGAAAAGAATTGACTTTGTGAATAAGAAGGCTCAGTTTGACTTAGACGTCATGGTTGTTAGAGTTCACCACTAGGGAGCATCTGAAACCTAGAAGAAACTCCTCTTCCCTCCCAGTAGTCAAGTAATTTATACAGAAGCTTTTCAGTGCACAACCAACTAATAAATCCAATGGTAACCATTATAACTATCAAGTCATAAGTTGATATCCATGCGCATTCACGTAAATTAGAATGTTGCCCATCCGAACTTGGAAGGTGGAAAGTTTGGAAAATGATTTGAAGGTAACAGGGAAGATACATGATTGTAAAATACTCCCCATTCTCTCTCTCCCTAAGATGTACTCAACTTCAGGACATAGGTAAGTGCAGTAATAAATGAATAGGAACTTACGTAGTAACTGGTTTTATAGTTCTATCCCGGGTTCAAATCAGAGTTTTCTGATAAACAATCATTTTAATTTAACTATGATGCTGACTGATTTAGCCTTTATATATGCTACTTAGTTCAGCCTACAGTAAAAAGAAGACTTAGTTTACGATCATCTCAGTGCCTTGATATCTAGAACCTCGTACTACTTAAGCGGTTGCAAGTTACGTTTCAACGTGTAAACATACATTAGTTAAGGCGACTGTCCATTACACTCATGATTTCTGCAATGATATGGAAAGCAGGAAATGCAGTGAAAAGAACCTCTTTCGACGAACTTATTCTTTCTTATATATATCTATATATATATATATATAACTGACATCCGTAAGAAAATCAAAATAATAGGAGTAGGAAACAACGACAATGATGAATTTACAGCTTGCGGTTTCCAGTCACTGATTGACATGACCTATTGGGTCACTACTGGCATATTGGCTCCTCCCCAAGTGCCTTGATAATACCGATACTTTCTGCTTGGTAGTAATAATGGGTTATGTCTAGTGTCGAAATCAAGACATTATATTTCATTCAATTTACGACTTGTCAACTGGGTGTACCTACCTCCCAGTAAGTGATCTTGTTACCGCTGAAACCTGAACTGCGAATGCATCGGTTCAAACGCCAAAGCTTTACGCACCAACCTTTTGAGTCACGATGACCAATAGTTAAAGATTTAATTTACCGTGCTTGATTGGACCTAATTAATTGGATACTTTTCGTATATGAGCCGATTTCTGAAACTTCTGCTTGACTTCTTTTTGTTATCATTCAACCTCTATCTCATCAGCTAGCAGTACTGTCATAACGATAACCACCATTATTGTTATTTCTGTCTCCCATTTTCTCTACGGATATCAGTCAGCTGAAAGAGTCCTTCTTGCTGAACTACTACACACATAGTGTGTCCTGTGCAAACACATCTCTGAACATGATCCAGCATGAGAGATCTGAAGGAGAGTTTAAAGTGACTAACAGCTCGATTCTTGAGCATTTGGTTGACTCCAATTACTTTGTTTCACCAGAATCTTACTTCGAAATCATTTATAAGGTCGTAAATCAAACCTTTCGAAGGGAGTGCAGATTCGACACCTGAACACATCAAAAGCGATAGTAATTCATTAGTTTAAGCCTAATCTCTGCTTTGGAAAGGCAAACACCGAATGTTCAATTCTTCCTCTGCCATAATCTCCTTAGAACGTTTTGTTCATCTATTGATTCTACTTTATGCATCAACATTATTACTTCATTCTCATCCCTTACTCCGTAACCGCTTGTTTTAATGGGACAGTATCGCTCCTATTATCTGTCCCATTGCATCATGGATTATTATGTGATCACCTCACAATCACCTCGTGTTTACCTTTAAGCCATTACCTTGCAATCTCATAAGCAAATTTCAGTGAACTTCTGTTGACCTTCTAATCATAATCACCTTTTGACTCTACTGACAGGTAGTGACGGATAAAATAAGCAGCGCACCTCGCACACAAGTGCATCTGCTCAAGTTGTCTTATTTCACGGTAGTATACCAAGAATAAGAATAAAGATAAAGACTGACATCAACGTAGATGAACGTGTATGGACAGAGAGGGAATTTAAAAATCAAGGTCAGTCAGGTATTAGAAGACGTCAAACAGTGAATACATTATTACCATTGTTATTGATTTTCAGCCATTTTACCAAGGGTCCTCAACCACTAGTTCCTATCATCTCAGGGACTCCAGTCGGATAGTCTATACCTCCCTACACAGCCCTGACCAACAGTCAGGGATATCATGGACTGGTGACGTCTTAGTCCGGTCATCCTGGACCGTAATCCGAATTCCCCTAACAATGGACTTCGAGGTAAGTGGTGGCTAGGCATGCAACTATCATTTCCAAGACATCTCAGTCAAATAAGGTCCAGAACCTCATCGAGTTAACTTTCTTGTATAATACTCTTCTCCTGACCTCAACACTGCTGACATGGTGATTCCACTGTACAGTATTAATGCTACGAAGACACTTATGGTCAAAAACCAGTAGTAGCTTCATATCTTCCACTTTCAACGTCTATGTTTCACTGGTGTGTAACAGGACAGAACGGACTGCAGCGCAGCATACTTGGCATTTAAAAGGTAGCTGGATATCTCACCAGTCGGCGTCGAAGATGATGCAAGTTGGCAAACTCCAAACGGACATTCTATATCATCCCAACGACGTTTCTTCACCAACCAGCTTGTCCCAGCTGATGCAACTCTCGAAGTGGGTGGAGTGATCAACCCATTCTTCCACTTCGCCCTCTATCATTCAAATGAAATAGCTGCAGACTGGTTCTGGAGTATTATCTTGCATTTGACAAGTATGGAATGCGTGTCAGGAGTGCTCAGATTTTTGCTTAAGGTATTCAGAAGACTCTGTAGCATCTGCTTACTTCAAGCCGATTTTTGGTGACCACTGGGTTACTGGCCTTGTGCTCTACCAAGTGAGATATGAGACTCAACTGCTGACCAGACTTTTTTATTTCACTTCAATCACCAAGCATCTTACCTGAATACCATGTGAATTCGTCATGTGATACTCTTGCC